AGCATCTGTGTTACTAGTCTCTGGTACATTACTCGACAGTGTTTCACCATGATGCGTCCAAACCCAATAATTTTCAATGAAACCTTTCCTATGCAAATGACGTGTTATTTCCTCCGGGTCACTAATTATATATCTACATCCACATTTAAGACAAGGACACCTAACTCCTCCTTCACTTCGACAACGTTCCTGGGCAAACGTCCACGCGATAAAATCATTAACCCCGTCTATAAAATTGGGTTTAAGTGCGCGCCTTCCTGGATATAGTCTATCGTACATCCAACTACGATAATACATATAATATTCCATTTACTGCAAATTTATATAATCAAAACCTATTTAATTAGAAATATTAATTAATCAACTTAATAATAATCCTAAACATATACAATTAAAGATAAATATATGCTTTCAACAATACTTATAAACTCCAAAAAATATTTTTAAACACTTAAAATTTAATTTAAACACCTAAATTTTATAAACTCCTAAAAATTTAAAAACTAATTAAACTCCTAAAAATTTAATTTAAACACTTAAAATTTATAAATTCCTAAAAATATTTATTTATTTTTAAACACTTAAAATTTAATTTAAACACCTAAATTTTATAAACTCCTAAAAATTTAAAAACTTATTAAACTCCTAAAAATTTAATTTAAACACTAAAAATTTATAAACTCCTAAAAATAAAAAAACTTAAACTCCTAAAATAATTAAACTCATTCATCATCACAAATTAATAATTAATAATTATTATAAGCTAAATAATTAAACCTAACATTTAACTCAAATACAAAAAATATATATATAACCCAAATTCAACAATTTAACCCAATGCAAATTAATCAAAATCAGAAAATATACTAATTTCAAAAAAAAAAAATTCAAGACATACCTTTTATCTTGTAACTCCTTCAATCTTCTTGTCCCTTTTTGCAATCTATACTTCTATATTCTCCTTCTCTATTCAAAGAAAAATTGAAAAAAATTTATACTCAAAATAACACATCAAAAGCTATTAACAAAGTATATAAAACATGAAATTGAAATTACCTTACAAAATGGATGAAGATGGTAGGAATTAAAGAGTGGAGAAGAAAATTTTTTTGGGAAGAAAATGGGTATGGTCGAAGAGTGGGGAAGAAAATTTTTTATGAAGGTTGAAGATGAAGAAGTGATAGAAACAGAAACGTTGTGGAACGTTTTCATAAATTACATAAACCACGTAGCGACGTGAAAATCACGCCGCAACGTTGCCACGTGATTTTCACGTCGCAACAAATTTACAACTGCTTTCTCTTCCTTCAAAGCATGCACACGCCAGTGTTGGAAGTTGTGATTGAATTAAATTTTGTGATATTTTAATTAGCGACGTGAATCCCACGTTGCTACTTTTTTTTAACAAAGAAACATAACTGACACACTCAATGTATCTTTTTTATATTATTAAAACACGTTGCCACATGATTTTCACGTCGCAAGTGGTTTTATTTAGCCACATGAAAATCACGTGGCAACTTCACGTGGCTGAGGAAGCTTTTTCTTGTAGTGAGGTGAAGACGGGGATGTGGAACCGAGGGTTATTACCGGGTTCCGGGGGATCACTGATTTATCTGTTTTTTTAATGTAATACATATGGGTGTAATCGTTTTTTTAAAATAAAAAGTCAATTTTGTTGATCTTGTATCAAATATGCAACGCACCAGACTGAAAGAAAAAACGCGAAATTTGCCCTAGAAAAGCACTAAGGCGCCATCTCACTTGGCTTAGGGCATGCCCTAAGCACCTAGGCGCCAAGTGAGATGGCGTCTCCCCTTAAATAATGGGTGTAGGCGCCAAGTGAGATGGCTCCTCCTTTGGAGAGTCATCTGAAACATGGTTATTTGCGTAATTTTTTCCGAAATATGGTTATTTGCGAATTTTTTTTAATACATGGTTATTGCAAAAAAAAATTCAAATTCCTTAATTACATTACAAATCAAAAAACAATTTTTTCTCACAAGTTTACAAGGTACTAAAATCTGCAATGCAAAGGTACGAAATAAGGGCTTCTATTTATATCTATTAAATTTAATATATTAAATTATCTTTGCGACACTTAATTATGTTGTGTTATATTATTTATTTTTCTATATGAATTCGAATTTTTACAAATGCAAAAAATATAATAATTTAATATTTATTTATTAATTTTTATTATTTTAAAATATCATATTAATATACTCGTAATAAATTTATTATTATTATTTTAATACAATACATTATTAGATAAATATAATTAAATTTTAATTAAATCTCAATAAATTATTTTTCAACATACAACTAATTTGCTTATATATATTATTTTAATAAACTTTACGAATACTGTTTATATTTGCTTTAAAATAATTTCTTAATTATAAAAATGAAAGAATTATATCGCAAAAATCACATATATTCTTTTCTTTCATATTGATAAATAGTTTGAAATTCAACCATTTACAATAATTCATATTTTTTTAAAATGATATTTGAAATAAAGTGATTCTTAATATTTTTAATTAAATATCCTAACAATACAATAATTATTTCAACTAAATATATTTTTTAAAATTTCAAAAATAAAAGAGATGCTCGGATGCACACACTTTGAAGTAATTTTTGTTCTCTTGAAATCATAACAACAAAAGCTTTAAAAAATATTTTTAATCTTAAAATATATATTCCACATATTTTTCATAATTAAATTACTCTTGATTGATTTTGAATTATATTAGATAATGTCACACTCTTACCGAATTTATATATTCATCTCTATATTTTTCATATAATAATAATTTTGCAATCATAAAAAATGTAAGGAAAAATATCTTGATACATTTATTTACTTAATTTCTCTAAAATAATTTTAGAATCTTTCAATTTAAAAAAAAAAAGAGATAGCACTTCTTCATCATCATATATTTTACAATAAATATTACTATCATTTAAAGACGCAGTTGGATTTAATGTCTAATTTTAATATCACATTGTAAAAATTCAAATATGATACCTTACGTATATGTTTTATTTATTTTTTTGCATATTGATAAATATTTTGGGGTTCAACCCTTTATAATAATTCATCCTTTAAATAATATTTGAAAGAAAGGGATTCTGGATATTTTTAATTAAATATCCTAAAAACACAATAATTACACAAATTAATATATTCTTTAAAATTTCAAAAAATAAAAGAGATGTTTGGATCCACTCACTTTAAAATATTTTTTGTTTTCTTGAATTCATACAACACAAACAACACTCAAAAAATACTTTTAATGTTAAAGCGTGTATTTCGCAATTTTTCAGAATTAAATTACTCTCAATTGATCTAAAATATAATAGAAAATGCAACATTCTTTAATAAATCTAGGAGTGGCAAACAAGCATACCTATCCCGTTTAGGTCCGCTCCGCAAAAGCCCACAAAAAATAGGGCGGGGCGGACGGTCGCAATTGAGGACGCGGGCCTAAAATTTAGTTTCGTCTCGCAAAAAAGTGAGAGCGAGACGGGAAAAGTCCGCAGACATTGCACCTTTTAAACTTAAAAAGAAAAAATATATATGAAAATGCACGTGCAAGTAAAAGCCGGCGTCAAAAATACGATAGAGTGGGAGTGAACACATTAGAGAGTGAGGGCATAAACTCTTGGTCTGCTCCGCACTAAATAGCAGGCAAAACGGGTATGTTCAATGGGCCAGACCCGTTTTGTCACTCCCTAAATAAATCTCTATATTTCACTCTACTATTTTTTTAAATATCATAAAAATAAATTAAAGACAAATAAAAAATTCTGAATTTCTCAAATATAACTAAAATTTGATGTCATAGACATAAATTTATAAAGTTTAATTTTTATTTAAAATAAAAGTAATTACATATCTTTAACAACTTATAATTAAATAGTTAAAAAAGAGACAAATTTTAAAAAATATATTAGAGTCAAAATAAAATATAAATTATTACGTTTTAAAATTATATAAATTTACAAAATAAAATCTTGTAGGTCACTTTCAAGTTACAAACATAAATTTTATTTTCTTTTAAGTAAAATATAAATTCTTATTTGTGATTAATTTAAATTATTGTCTCGATTATAAATAATAATAAATTATTATAATATAGATTTGCAGTTCATATTTACTAAATAATATTTTTTAACATAATTAAAATTTGATACAAAACAAATAAAAATTAATTAACAGCGAATCCAAATTTAGCTTTAGGAAAAACTAAGTCACGGGTACGTGTGTATAATTTTTTTAAAATATAATTATGAAAATAGAAAAAAATTATATTTTTAAATGACAACAAAACATTAAAATTAAAAGATAATTTGCTTAAAAAGAGTCAATATATGTGTAATAATATAAATAAATTGCACTATAAAAATATCAATAAATCATGAAGTCATTGCTGAATATCAATATTTTTCTCTCCGATATCATTAAAAAAGGTGGATTCTAATTCTGGTTCATAGAGAAAGACTAATAATAACTTCAAAAATACTAATTCTATCGAGTTGATTCAATTTATTTCTATCAATATTTCACATTTTTGTTGCTCCTTCATTATAAGTGTTGCTCTTTCTCAAGAGAAGACATAAATTTGTATGAACAAAAATTAAGTCTTCAGCCCTTTTTAGATCGAGTCTATATCTTTTCAATAAGTAAATAAATTTATATATTCTTCAATTTCTCTCAAAATAAGATGAAAAACTTATTAGAGAAGTTTCAATACAACAGATTGAAGATCCATAAGTTACCCAATACCATACCATAGGAAAAAAAATTGAATTCGAGTACCGAAAATGTACCCGATATGTACCCGCTAGGGTATCGACTTAAAAAAGATAAATAAAAAACAAAATATGATTTGGTACGTACTGGATGCGTACTGGTACTCGGTAAATACCTGATACCGGTACTTTGTCTAAAATAGAAAACCCATTGATATGAAAAATATGGGAAGATAATTTCAAAAGAAAGGCAATGGCTTCCAATGTATAGGAACAGAAAAATTCCTATTAGGGTTAACCAGCCTTCCCGAATTCTTATGAGGCAAAAAATGAACCATCAAATCTTCACAATAAGGAGTCATAACAACATCAGAAACCCATGTTGCACCATAATAAATAGCTTGAATCTTCATTTGAATTCCAAAACTCAATGTGCCATTATTTTTAGCCCTATCTTTCTCTATTTCTTCCACCAAATTACTCTCCACAAACGGCTGATCTTGATCAGTTACCCAATCAGCTGTCTCCATAGTCATGAACTTTAAATGCAGCTTTATAAACTCACCTTGGTCCAAATAAAAAGGGTATGAAGAAACAACTGAAAGAGCATCTTCTGGATTTTGTTTGTAAAATATTGTGAAATCAATGCTGCAAAAGTATATAGACGAGACATTTGTGTTTGTGATTGTGAATTTCGCATCCCATGTTGCAGCGAGTCCTTTTGTTCCTATGGTGAAATTTGATATGTACATTGAATCGAGGTTGAAAATGGGCGGGATTGGATCTTGTTTTGGTGATCCTAAATGTCTATAAAGAGGTAAGAATATTAGTAACATTAACATTGTGAGACCAAGAAGGTCTTGGATTTTTTCGCATATACGAGGGCTAATGCTGAAGATTTCTTCTGAATAATTATCGTCGGTGATTGTTGGAATTGTTGTGTTTGTGGAGATTGATAATACTTGTTCTTCGTGATGATTAGCTTCGGTTTCTGATTGAGGCAATGTTGAAAATCTGTATACGTGATTTCTCTCGTTTTGAGGTTGAACAGAAGCCATGTATTTCTATTTTGTAGATCAAGAAGAACTATCGTTTTGAGAATTGAAGGAAAATTGAGAAAAGCTTAATCCTGGCCTTCTATTTAAATGAGGTTGAGAATTTGGTTATGATGAGTTTTGTACAGCTAATGTGGTTGAGTTTGTTGTTACCAAAGTTTTTAGACAAATAAAGAAAGAAACAATAATTGGTTTCAATAAATGTGACAGTTAGGTTCTTACCAAAAATAAATGTGACAGTTAGGTTTAGCTTGTTGGAAATCTATTTAATGAAATCAGTTAATACCGTTTCTTACAACTATTTTTAAAATTATTTTTAGCATATTTATCTTTTTCTTTTAAACTTTTAAAGGAGATTTTTCTAAAACTGTCCATTTATATAGTATTTTCTTAAATAAATAAATATTGAAGAAACATAGAGAAATTACATGACACAATCATAACATAAAAAAACATAACGTAAAAACTTTAAAATATGATGTTCAGCCACAAAATCGAATAAAAACTCTTATACAAATTGCCACATTTGACATTCAACCATACTTTCACACATAAAACATAGTAAAAATTTCTATCTCTAGATCAACTCAAGCTTTGATGTCAATTAAACAGTAGACTATAAAAGCAACAATGGAAATAATATTTAATAACTACAAGAAAGGGAGCCATGGTTGTCTAAGAGATTTCAAATACAAGAGGAGAGAGGTGAATGTGATATTCAAATTTTGTTATTAATTTATTAAAAAAAATTATTTTTGAAAATATTTATATTAGTTGATATAAATAAGGTAGTAAGAAGACGAAGGAGAAGAGAAATAAATAGAAAGAAAAAATAACGGAAAATAAAGAGAGAAGAGATAGAGAGAGTGCGTCATATATTTATACAAGTTAGACATAACTATTTGACTTACTCTTATTCTAAGAAGTTTTCTCTTGAGAGTTCAATAAAATTAGACTTGAGCTTATAAAGGATTAGTCCACGAAGCTTCAAGAATAAACAAACAAATAGACAGAGCTTTTACACGGGATTAACTCAAGAGCCTTCACCCAATTTTTTTCAAGTTTAACTTCCAACTTTCAAATCATTTACAGAGATATTACACAAGAGAATTACACTTTTGAAAAAAATATATTAAACACAACACCATTATAATACAACTCTCGACAGGGCTTTTCAATCTAACAACACTACGATAATTTTTGTGAAAAAGAAATTTCTAAAACAAACTGAGTAGAAGAATAATAGAGAGATTTTTATATATTTAATTTGTGAATCCATGAAATAATTTAATTTTTTTTTCACGAGTGTATCTATTAATCTTCTACATTTAAGTTTTTTTTAAGAAAGTAGAAACTCTCGTGTAATTTTCTTTTTGAGTCAAATTTTTTTCTATATAATTTTCTTTTTGAGAAATTTTTTTTATATATTAAATTTGTGAATCCTTGAAATAATTTAATTTATCTTTTTTTATTGATTTGGAATATTGAATCAATTCCATATGTGCCTTAATAGGTTCTAAGAAGTTTTAATGAAAGTAGATACAATAGGAAAAACGTTATGTATGTGTTTGATTGCAGTAATACTTTAAGACTTACATTTGATCTTTTACAATTTAAATTGATCACTCAAAGACGCTAAGCGCAAGATCGGGTGAACTTTTACAGTTTCATACTTCAAGATCTTCTATTTAATTTCTACATTGGATCAACACTTATCTTGGACTTCAATCATTTAACTGACGAGGCTTGAGATATATTCTCCTTAATCACATGCCATCTTCCAAAATTACTAGGTAATTCATATCAACTCACCATTTGTCAATTGTCACAAAGAACTCTTGAAAAGAGTTATCAACATCCAAAAGTTATTTGACTTATGATTTTATCTTCTTTAAGAGCTTATTTGACAATTATCATTAGTTGTCACCGTCAAAATCACTTTATAGTTATACCTACACAACATATAGATTCACATTACCTCCATTTTTTATGATGACAACACATCTCACGAGGTGGTAGAAAAAATAGAAAAAAGATAAATAAAGATTTAGGGTGGTTAAACTCTCCCTTGTAGATAAATAAAACATAATCTATTTCCCATAAGAGTATACTTCTCTCTCTTGGCATCATTAAAAAGACGCATAAATAAACAACACATACATATAGGTCATATAAATAATAACTCATAAGAAGGATAGTTATTTGATCAAACATAAGCATATATTGAAACATTTAATCATGACATAATGCAGTACTTCTCCCCCTAACGGGGGATGATTTCCTAGAAGCTTGTTGCTCTTAAGTCTGATGTGCATGCTCAGCGTGAGCGCGTTGCTCTATCACCTCATTGTCTTGGAGTATATAATTCCTTTGACCATAAACCTAATTAATTAGATCATGCTTGGTTGAGTCTAAAATCAATTTGAAAAGTCTCTTAATAACTGGTAATAGCTATATAGGAAAACTTTAATTTTTATCCTAAATAACCATTTACTTTTGGTATCTAATCGATTAGCCTAATTGAGTATCCCAATAATTCGCCTCATGGATTGTTTCCTTTTTGTATCATAATTTCTCCTAAATAAAGGAAACATGACATCATTCAAAAACACACCAAAATTTAGAGTTTTCATATTTCTTAACATTTTATCCCTCTCTTATCTCTCTTTAATTATTTTCTTCATCAAAGTTGTCTTAGTGTCTTGTGAGTGAAAACTAATTGTGAGAAAAGTGTTGTATTGCTGTCATATCACTATTTTATTTCTAGAGTGCAATACTCTTGAAGGACCGAGTTTGGTTCTTAAGATCAACCATGAAAAATCATTGTTTGGATATAAAACTCATCATGTAAAAGTTATGTTTTGTTATTATGATTATCCGGTGAAATCTCTACGTGATTCATGAATTCATCCTGTGTAAAATTTTTGATTCTCTTGTATCAGAGGCTCGTGGGCTTAACCTATAAAATCTCAAGATATTACTGAACTCTCAAGAATATCTCTCGAGGATAGGAATAGTCTAACATTCAGCTAAACTTGTACAAATATCAGTCAATCTCTCTAACCCTATCTCTTTAAATTCTATCATTTACTTTATAAAATTATTAATTTCTTCTTCTTTTCCCCTGATTATGTGAATACAAACACAAAATGTTTTTAATTAAGAAAACACTTAAAATATTCACGAATTTTAAATACCACAAGTCCCCCCCTGAGAAGGGTGAAATCAAAATCATACGACCGAGAGATACGGGTAACAGAGTCGATTACGCGAAGAAAATATATTAGTACTTCACACGTCTGTGGTACTCCACGTGATTTATTCTTGTTGTTCTAATCAAATGGTGTGTTCAAATCTAAAGCTAAAGAGCTAAGGAGAAAACACAAAGAAAGAATGCATGCAAAAGAAAACACAAGAAAAAAATGAATATTTATAAAGTTTCGCTCGCTTGGGCCCCGCGACCAAATACCTCCGTATCCCTTTAAGGAATCAGAGCATCGTAGTCTGGCTCAAAAGTTTCTGTTTGTTTTGTATTTTTCATGAACAATATTAATTTCTCTTTCTACTGTAACTCTACCTTTGGAGACTCACGCATTGACACATAAATGAATTAACATGCTCTACCTGAAAAGGTATTTTCAAAAGAAAAATGTTCGAAGGCGGATAATGCTACATTTGTGCTCTAGCAAGGAGACATGGTGCTACCTGACCTTTGGGGATTTACGCATTGTATTGCGTACACTAGAATTAACACATCCTTTTGAGAGTTTCAATGAAAAGGCCTGAAGGCAGAAAAAGTTTACATTGGTTGATGTTTTTTACCTTGAAAAAGGATTTTAAAATGTTAGAGTGTTTTATGCATTTGCCAAGAAAAAGGTTTTAGTCTTAAGGATGAAAAAGGAAAGAAAAATATCTAAGGGAAACAATCTACCTCTATGCCTAATGTTATCATATAATGATTGATCCTATAGTTGAGTTTTGAAAGGGAAATCTCTACCTATGTTAACATGCATGGATTACAATCCTAATGTCTAACTTGCATCGGAAACAAAATAAGTTAATTCTAAGGGAGAACACAAAGGTTACAACCTAATGGAAAGCATAACCAAAAGTGTGAACAAACAAAGACAAGCCAAAGCTAAAACAAACATCGAGTGCGAGATAGCAACAGACAAGTGAGTACAATGAATCTCAAAGTGGGAGTAAGGAACTATTTCCACTTGATTTGCTCGAGCACTGGAATAGAGTAACAACTCAAAGCATCAACGCCGAGTAACGTGAGCTAACATCTATGAAACAAATGACAAAATGTGGGGGGTTGGTTACAAATATCTGACTTCCACTTGACCGACTCGATAACAAGAGTAAGTATGGTTCAAAGCATCATTACACAACGCGAGCTAGAGACGACACAGACTAGAATGTGTGGGGGTTGGTTACGAATCCTTTGCTCCACTTATTGAACTGATAGCAATAAAAAATTAAAAGGGGAGGGGAAATTCCCATTCTTCTAGGACTTTGGAAAAATGCCTCATTTGAGGTCTTTAAACAAACAACACGAATTCTCCCCTTTTGGAGTCTTTTGCAAACAAAAATATTGCCTCATTTCAAGGACTTTAACATAATGAACATCACCTCACTTGAGGACTTTAAATAGATTATTCACTTAAAGTAGGTACTCTCAGTCATGCATCTCTATTCCTACTTCTCATGGTAAGGAAAATAGTAAATGATGTGGAAAAATGAACTAGAATCAGTGTAATATCAAACGAATAAGAGTTTCTAGCAAGCAAGCAAAAGAAGAATAAATTCAGAAAAGATGATAAAAGAGGGGGTGCATTTGGGAATTGGGAGCCCAATAACTGAAACAAGGATTGGCTCATTTCAATTCTGCCACCAGAATCCATTTTCCTTTTTACTTATTATAATAATAATTTTATTTATTATCATATTTTGTATTATTGGTATTATTATTATTAATGTCTTTATTTGGTTTCTTTATA